TGTCCCCAAGATTAAATCTATTACTTTTCCGTGAACTCCATAATAATTACCATCATAAATAACGTGCTCTAAAAATCGACCTTTTTTTAATTCAGTTTCAAATTCTTCTTTACTAATGAAATAATAATCTTTGCTATCAACTTCTCCCTCCCGTGGTGGTCGAGTAGTAGTGGAAACTAATTTAATAATATTTGAATCCTGGGCTAATAAACTCTCTATCGTGGTTTTTCCGGTGCCACTTCCACCAGCAATAATAATTAAAGTATTCTTGTTTTTGCTTATTTCTTCCATATTCTAGTATTCTTTTTGTTTTTCTTTGATTAGACCGCGAGAAGTAAACTTATATACTTCGTCAACATATTTAATAGCCTTATCATCATGGCTAATAATGATAATAGTTTTGCTTTTTAATTTCTGAAAAAGAAACTTCATCATTTTTTCTTTTAGAATGTTGTTAACGTTACTCAAAAATTCATCAAAAAGGTAAACTTCGTAATCTTTAACTAAGGCCCTCATTAGACCAATTATTTGCTTCTGCCCTTCGGAAAGATTTTGCCCTTTTTCAGCAATAGTAGTTTCTCATCGGTTTGGTAGTTGGTCAATAAACTCCCCAATTCCTAATTTTTTAGCAATATTTTCCAGTTTTTCTTTATGAACATTTTCTTGATAATTTTCAGGATAAAATATATTATTACCTAAACTAGTATTAAAAAAAGAAGAATGGTTAGGCGAATAAACTATTTTCTCCCGCAAACCAAAGTTATCAATTTTTTCTAACTCTGTGCTGCCTAACTCAATAGTCCCCTGCTGTGGTTTGTAAAGTTTAACTATTAATTTAACTAGAGTGCTTTTGCCAATGCCATTAGGACCAATAACCGCATACTTTTTTCCTTTTTGAAAATCAAAAGAAAAGTTGTTTAATATTTTTTTGTTAGTTTCAGGATAAACAAAAGTAACTTTTTGAAAACTAAAATTGAGATTATTTCCAGGCAAAGTTTTTTGGGAAATTTTAGGAGAAAAGTCAGCATTTTTTTCCAAGATAGTGAAAGCATTATTTAATTGTTTTAAACTTGAAAGGTAATTGTCATAACCGCCATGGGCTCAAAACATTTCAAATAATTTTTTTCAAGCTTCAAACAAATCTCCTAAACTAATAAATAATGCAAGTAAAAATTTAGAACCTTGACTTGCGAAAAATACCAGAAATAAAATTGGGAGAGTTTTCAACATTACATAATTAGGGATAGAGGCGTAAAGTGATTTAGAAAGAGATAAATGAAGAATATTTTTTCAGTTGCTCTTTAAAAATTGCCTGCTTGTTTTAATCTCTCTTTTCTCTCCTCCTGTCACCTTAATGTATTCTGTATTGTTCCTCACTTCTTCAAATCTTTTGTTTTCTTTTTGGATGAATTTCAACCTCTTTAATCGAAAATTATAAGTTAGGCGGAAAAGAAAAAATGCTGTTAATGCTAAAACAAATAAGGAAAGTAGTACTCATGGGATTAAATGTGGTCGATCCTTTTCGATAATCTCTCAAAGTAAAATGATTATGAGTCCAATTGAGTAAAAAGAGCGATTAAAAATCCGTGATGCCTTTGTTCCAACTATTATTGCGTCATTTTCATAATTTCCTAGAATAAATTTTGTTTTTTGAGTTTGAACGAAATTGCTTTTCAAGTATTTTTCATTCAATTTTTGGCGCAAAAATGAACTATACATTTCTTCTAAATAAATGCCAATAGCAATATGAACGAAAGCGATAGCCCCTCAAAGTAATACGCGAAAAATTATCACTCAAATCTCTTTCTTAATGGGAAGAGTGCTTGATTCTTCAAAAGCTTTTCCTATAATTTCTGCTACTTTGCTAATTATTCTGGCATTGATGAATCCACTAAGTAAGGCGAAAATGTAATGAAATGCAGTAGTAATTGGAAAACGGCGGAATAAAAAAAATCAACTAATTTTAGTTTTTTTTGTTTGCTTTTCTGAATTGTGCTGTTTAGTTAGCATATTTTTCTAGTTTTTAATTTTTTCTAAATAGAACCGATAAGGTTGCTGTTTCTCGTTATTTT